AAAAAAACTCAATTAACAAAACAAACAGCTTCCCAAGATATTAATTAACTTCCACCTGTCTGATTACTGCTTCCTTTTGTGGCAGACGATATACCTTGCTCAATACACTAAACAAAAAAAATGAAAATTAACAAATATTATTACCAACTATAGTTCATGGTAATTTCAAAATACTTTTGACTTATTGAGTTTATATTTAAGCACACATTATGCTCTTCTTTTTTTATATTTATACCTGAAGAAGATGATTATGCAGCCAATCAAGAGTTTGTGGGAAAGTTGTAGCAGATATATTAGCAACTGTTAATCCATGTGATTTGAATGAGCACAGATAATCTTGAATGATTTTTAAGTTGTTAATCACTTTATCTTTTTCCTGAAAACATTCAAAAAAAAAAAAAAAACTCAATATATATTATTTTCCTAGATCAAAAGTAAACAATAAATCTTTATAAGTTGACACCTGGATTGGATACTTATCACTGAATTTTCTGCTAGATATCCACTCTTCTAGTAGTGCCTGCAGTTGACAAGAACAAGTGACGTTTTTTATTTTGAAAAAAGTAAAATGAAAATGGATTATTTATAAGCTTTACTTTATGATCAAATTCTGCCATCTTAAGGACTATAGGAATTATTACTGGCTCAGTGACCCCTGATTTTTCTCTTCTTAGAATAGGCTTATTGTCATCTGAATGGCCAAAATAAGAAATTAGAAAAACCAAAAAAATTAAAATTAAAATTAAGAGCTAAGTTTGACTACCAGCAGCCTGGTCAACAATATGAACAGATCTGACCCCGTCCGAAACTTTATCCGACTCTTCACCAATTGCTTTTGTCTTGGAAATTTCAGCATTATTTTCTGTGTCTTTTAAGTCATTTTCATCTGTTTTTGAAGCCTTATGTGGTGATTTGTTCTCTTCGTCCATTAAATATATACTAGGATCCACATGCATCCCCTGGCAAGGGCAAAAAGGTCAATATTTGTATCTACATGAATTGCCATAAAAAATATATATTTATGTACTCTTTGTTACCTCAATGATGATCGGCTTCCCATCTTTCATTGCTTTCTTTAAATCACCAGCCAAACCTATGACAAAACAAAAGAAAATCCTATAATGTTTACAAAAGAAAAAACAATTTGGTTTAAACAAAAAGTACATTACCTTTTCGAACGATCCTACATTCTCTGCAAAATTCAGTAATTAGCTCCTCTGATGAACTAAAGTCTCGTGCCCAAATAGGTGAAGATGTCAAAGGTGCACTGAGAAAAGTTAAAGGGGTATACTATATGGTATTTTGTATTGTGTATAAAGTTGTCATATATAAGTGTTGATATGTTACATACTCTGTTGATGTTCTTAGCAATTCATAGACCATATCCGTCTGTAACATCAAGAAAAATGAAATTATGTGTTTATGTATTTGAAATATAGAAAAAAAAAGGGACATCAAGATTCACCTCACCTGTAAAACATTTGGCAAGTTTAGCCTTTGACCAAGCTGGGTAGCAATTGTTGACTTTCCAACACATGCTGTGCCACATACAAGAATAACTAATGGTACTCGCTGATGGTGAAATCTACAAAAGGTATAAATACAGAAGAAAGATTTAATTACTAAATTAAGAATTTATAAAAGGGGACAAAAGGGAAATACCTTGTCATCATCTTGTAACGATTTATATATTCTTGCCCATAGCCCCGCCTTTCCATGAGCTGCAATCAAAGTCATAATTATGGTAGTTATGCCTTTGAATTGAAAGTGGCATACTGTAAAAACTCAGACATGGCTAAAATGGATATATATACCTTAAACAAATTAGCTTCCAGATCAGATTGAGAGCTGCAAAAAACTAATATATGAGATTTAAAGAGACATGTGTTAAGGTAGTATTCGGAGGATGTAATATGATGACATACACGTCCAGAAGGCTATTATCTATGAGCAGCTTCTTGAGTTCAAGGGCAATTTTTAGAGCGACATGATTAGGAATCTGAAAACAAAAACACTATGATGTTTAACTTAAAACTTTATTGGAATGATAATACGAAGAATAAGTAACAAAGAAAGGACGAAAACACCTTAGTAACAGTCAACATTCTGCTAAGCAAAAATCTAGAGAGGACATAGTAGTGATCAGCATTATCACCCAACCATACTTTCACCTGAAAACAAAGAAACAAAACCTATAAGTACCAACGCAGTCGTTTACATCTATCTATACATAGCTAAGGAGATAAACTAATGTAAAATTAACTACAGTTATATATATCACAACAAGAAGTAGGAAGAAATTTAAGGATTAGAGAAGCAACAAACCTTGACGAAATCGTATTTCGAGGAACCATTACGAGTGGCGATTGGCAAAGGGAAGTCATTAGTAGTTTGTTGCTTCTCCGATTCTTCGTCTTCTGGAAGGAATACTCTGTTTGAAAAAGATGAATTTGCTTCGGTAGTTCCGCTAGGGCTTGCAATTAACACTGATTTGTCCTTCTTCATCGTCTGGTTTTAAGCTCCGATCATAAATCAGTGGGGAAAACAGTGATCAGAGGTCGTGATTTATATATGTTCTTTCACTCTAGATCAATAGAGATGATTTAAGAAGCTAAAAATGAATAAGGGATTTTAACATGAGGAGAAATCAATTTTTATAACACACTGGAAGTAGATTTTAACATGAGGAGAAAGTTACATCTTTTGTTCGTGTCTCCGGGGCGAGAAAATTTTTTATGCCCATATATATATAAAAATTACAAAATAAAAAATACAATAAATTTTATAATCAACCAAATAAAACAAACAAAAACATACAACTCACCCGAGGTTTGCTTATATTTGCCTATATTTCTGACTTAGTGCATTTTTTGAAGCAAAACATCTCTAATTTTACAATAATCAATATTTTGTTGTCTCTAGAAGTCGGAAATCTAGTTAGAAAGGATCTTTAGACAACAAAGTCAGAAATATAGCTCCTGCTTCACATCACATAAACAATAAACAATAACGCAAATGTTTATAAAGGTTATTCAGACAACACATATTGAACTCTAACCAAATTTGAAATAAAACTCACCAGAATCTTAAAATTGGATTTCTGAAATAGTATATACAAATCAGATTAGGAGAAAACATATTCGAAACATATATAAACAGATTTCGAAATATACAAATCTGATTTCTGAAAGAGTTCAAACTTAGAGAAAACAGTACAACTCACCCAAATCTGTGTACAGAAACAACACCACCCAAATCAGATACAAAATCCAATAAGTAAAAATAAATCCAACTTATGAAACAAAGCTAGATAAACACATATTTCAAATAAACTCACCCAAATCTACTTTCAGAAACAACAAAACCCAAATCTGATTTATGAAACAATAAAGAAAATGATACACAAATGAAAATCCAAAAGACTTTGAGGCTTTCACTCTTTTTTCCTGTAATCAAATAGAGTAGAAACAGATAAATATAAA